ATTTGCTAAGTTTTATTGAAATATCCCCTAGTTCGCCACTATTCCGGACTTTACACTGGAGATAATAATAATCGGTTCTCACTACTCAAAGTATATTGAAAGAAAAACGCCTTGAATTGAAGAAATAGCAAAATCACCCATTAAAATAATTGCTCCTAAATTAAAGTTAGGCGCTATTTATAAAAATGAATGTTCATGCGTACCCTTAAAGGTAGATAATTTTCTTCAAAATGAAATGGGACCATTATGGAAGTACCCCCTTTCCAACAAAAAAAGAATCATGAAAATCGGTTTACAAATACCGGAGTTATCGCGCAACATACATACAAAAAAAAAGAACATACAGTCGAATTAAGAACCTCCTCCTTTTTTGAAGTCGGTTAAAAGAATTCATAGTCTCCTGATGTATTTATTACGGAACACGGAAAAGAAAATATCTCTAATAACAATTGAACGAAACTTACTTATTCGTAGATGAGTGGAGTAAAAACTTTTAATTTGGCGTCAGTCTAAATGTTAAAGATCCCATGGTGGAAAACTCTCTATCTATTCTCTAGTCTATTATGGATCTCACTTCACCTTAAAGTTGAGGTTTAGTAGAGCAGAAAGAGTTCGTCCATTGTGCAGTGGAAGTGCTGACACCTTACCTATTTCTGCCGCCAAGCAGTAATGTGAACATTTCTGCGTTCCGATTTCGAAGGGTAAGGCTGCTGGTGAAATTACAGGCACATGGAACTTGTCAGGTTGCGTCGCGGGGTAACTGGCGCGGTGGCAGTGTCCCTCGGATCTTTGCGATTCAAAGCTCGGAGTGGCATTGCAACTGTTATGGCCAGGCGTGTAGCTTACCATCAGGCGCGTTCATCGCGTCACTTGATGTTATAATAAAAAAAAAGGTGGAATCCTATACACGACCAAACCGAGACAAAGACTGTAATAACAATTTCTCGAAAAGCAAATTTTCAAAAATTACTAGTCCAATAAGAAAAAACAAAATAAACTACAGCTTTCAAGAAAACAGGTCTCAAAGGCATGCTTTCGAAAGCGAATATTTTCCAGGGTTCAGCTCTTTTCGGTCCATCCTAGCATACATCACTCGACTTTCATACCTTAGCATTATACCCATAATGTCACTTAATTTGCCTCTATGCGAACACAGGTTTAAATAAAAAATATTTTTTATGCAGTTTCTTTTGAAGTTTCAAGCGTAAACAACGAAATTACGGTATCGTTTAAAGTTCAAACGTGAATGCGAATTGCATTTTTTTGTGAATTCATAATGTGAATAAAAATCTGAAGTAGTAAGTTTTTTTTTATTATATTGCAAAAAAGCTTGTAGAAATTTGGGATTTATAGGGCGATAAAAGGTAAACCACCAGGTGTATACTTGAATTTAATGCAGTCATTCGGTCTCCATGAATAAATTAAACACAAAGTACTACATCCAACCATTTATTTAACTTTTGATAGCTCGAATTCTAATCAATTAGTGATGTCCTTATGCGTTTCCGATTCGATTTTTTATAACAATCGATTTTATTCATGAGGAAGTTTTAATCGTGAATGTGAGCGGGTTCAAAAAAGAAGATATTGTATGATTGGGATAGTGATGCTTCATTTGACAATTTGTATACTCAAGAATTAATAATTTATGTTAATGAGGATTCCAGTGATGATTCCCGTTCATATGAAGAAGAATCCGTCTATTCATTATAATAAACAATAAGAATTTATTGTAAATGTTTATAATTTATTTCATTTATAATTTATTAGACAGGTAACAAAACTTGAATAGTCTTCGCTACATAATCTGTTGGTTCGATAAATATCGGAGCTAAAGAGCACGCCACTTTACTAAAATTAAAAAATAAAAGAGTCTAGAAAGTATTGCAATTTTTTTGTCTGTGGTTGTATGTCTATAATTACGGAACTTCGGAGGCATGCATATGTCAAAAGTTAAATAAATGGTTGGACGGAGTATAGACGGTATATCCAGTTTATTCGCTGAAGTAATATTTATAAAGTCATACTAAGTTGATTCAATAATCAAGGTACTGATGTCTAATTTATGGCTGTAGTTTACTGGTTTTCATGTAAAATGGTAATATTAAGGTTTTATGTAAATAAATAAATTTTGAGAATCATCGCGTAATAAATTCTGCAGTCTGCGAACATGTAATGGATAAACCTACATATTCAATTAAGTTTGACAAACCCCAAGTCCTTGAAAACCAAGTCCGTTTTTCATTCAGGATGGTGCGAGAGATTTGAAATTTAAAAAAAAATCCTATTTCAACAGGGAAGATGGTTTCTTCCACCGGTTTGGGATGCAGAATTTCATCTGATGAAAAATCCCAAGTCGTCGAGACTGCTTACTTATTAATATGTTTTATTTTATTTCCAGATAATTTTAATAAAAAAAATCGCTTTAGTAAAAATAAGGTGTTTAAATTAATTACTTTTGTACAACACAACAACAACAACAATGGATTGCATTAATATTAGACATAACTGGTCGATGACAATACATCAGACGTGACCTTAGGATCTATGAAGGGTCCAATACCTTGGTTTGTTTGATAAAAGAAGAATATACACGATTTACATAGCAATCTTATAATTAAATTCTTGTTAGGAAATGATGATTAAAATTCTACAACCAAACCCAAAATTTGGATTACGTATTTTAATTTTTTTAAAACAATTGTTTTCCTGTTGGTGTTTTTTTTTACTAATCTTTGCAACAACGTTATTTCAGGAACATGTAAATCATTACAGTTTATCTTCATTTTACTGTACTTATTTTAATTAATCGAAAACAATCCGACCCACAGATGATCAACAAGAATCTTTAAATCTTTTCAGAAATCGTATTTGTATTCCATAAGGAAACTTTTCCGCCACCAATGGAATAGACATACCTAGGTGGAAGTACTGCCACTTTACCTATTTCTGCCGCCAAGCAGTAATGTGAGCATTACTGGGTTCCAGTTTGGAAGGGTAAGAAAAAACAAAGAAGAAAGAAGAAATTACAGACGCATGGGATTTGTCAACTTAGGTCTCGGGGTGACGGGCGCAGTGGCTTCAGACCTTTGCTATTTGCTATTTAAAGATGAGTGGCACTGCACCTGTTATGGACAGGTGTGTAGCTTATTGTAGCCACCAGACGTGCCAGAATGTCGAACCCTCTTCCGACATTCAGGCACGTCTTAGTGGAAGCAAAAGATAACAGATAACAGTCATCTATCAACCAACGACTCATTTATTTCTACCTTATATCACCATGGCGCAGCGGAACAACAAACATCCATTCACCTGCGTCATGGTAAAGTGGTGACCCCGACTGGAAGAACGCAGCCCGCCTTGTACAGTGGTGACCCCGACGTGATCACTGACATGATGTCAGTCGCATGACTTGTTCGTCCTGTCACTTAATATTATTAAAAAAAATACTACAATGCAATTATTATAATATCTGTTATTCTAATAAAACCCAGTTGCAATGTCAGTTGTGTCTCAAAAGAATGTCAGCAGCTAGGCAGTGAAGGAATTTATTCATAAACTAACGATCGATTTTGCCTTACTAAAACTACCATGGAAATTATATATTTAAGTAATTTAGTAATAATAATAAATTTATTTCATAAACATACAGACAAATTTCACATTGACAGAATGTTTTAAGCTTGCAATGTTGCATTTAGGGCTAGACATCTGTGTCTAAACTAGATAATTAATTATCTGTATTTCGGACATCAGCGCTCTTCCGTGAATACAAGAACATGTGACAGATTTCAAAGATAACATTGTCTTCTAAAGTACGCCTAGAGCCTTTGAGTTTAAATTTAAAGTTACTTATAATTTACTTATAATTTTAGTAGTGACCTCCCTGTCAGTAGAATGGAAATGATTGAATGTGTTTGGGAGTGTATGTTGGTTATAAGAGAAAAAAGTACTGTATAAAACCTAATAAGTTTTCGGTTTTATCATAGGTCATTTTATGGATAAATTTTTGTTTATGTTTACTTTATATTTTGTTTACAGTGTTCAAAATAAATGCATGTTGTATAAAACAAACGAGGGTGCCATAGACAATCACAAATGACGCCCAAACTCACGAGAAAAATAAACGTAGGCCATAAGGTGCCTACAAACATGCTCGATTTTGCCGACCGTTACTGTCGATCGATATGATGTTTTGAGACAGAAATTTTGCCGCATCTTTACTTGTAAAGCTGCAAGTATATGCACTGTACTGTATACTATATATGTATATATAACTGCATGTACTTGCAGTTTTACAAGTAAACATGCGGCAAAATTTCTATCTCAAAACACATTATATCGATCGACAGTGTCGAGCAAATCTGTAGGCACTCGATCGACATTGTTCGATCAACCATGTCGAGCAAATCTGTAGGCACCTATACAAATATTTCTCTCGACCGAGGAATTGAAACCGGGACCTCTGCGAGGCAGTTCAGCATGGGAACAATTCGGCCAAGGAGACAGTTAAATTAGCGGCCTTGAGGCCCATTGTATTTCCTATGTAAGTATACTCGTAGTGCTTAACATTAAAAAGTTAACAAGAAAAAAAAACAATAAAAATGGCGATACTCCTGAAACTCGAATTCAGCAAGATCTAACAGAACCAAGCACAAAAGCGTAATAACTCGTTACGATTTTACCACGATACAATGACGTCACAGTTACGTTATTGGCAGATTGTGTCGACGCTGCAGATTAAATGTAGTAAATCGAAATGGGATTTCACCATTTTGATTGTGCAGGAAAATCTGCAGAAATATTATTGTAGCTATTAACTTGCTATAACGAGTTCGTTACGCCCTCACATCTTGCTCTAGTTTATTTTTATTCGTACAAAAAGGGACACTGGTCATGATCAACAAATCATGAAGATGATGGTCGGGTATTGTTAAGAACACAAAGTTATTGTTCATAACAGATTATATAAAAATAGTGAATTTAGTGAAGATATTTACCTTAAATCTCAGCTAAACGGTGCCGCGTATGAGGAGTATATCATTCTGTAACAAAATAAAAAAGCATTAATAGAATAAGTAAATAAATATGTATTAGACAACATCACATCTGTTGCTCCGATTCCAAAGTAAGTAAGTAAAGCACTTATCTTATGGAAATCGGCCACAACGACGGTACCATTAACACCCAGACCCAAGACAGTATTATAGAAAAATTAGTTTTTTGTACATTGACTCGGCCGGAGATCGAAAGAAATGACTACATTATGGAAACCGTTGTGCTAACCACTCGACCACTGAAGTCATCTATTTACATTACATTATCGAGTTCTTAGGTTTTCGCGATTGTTACACATAGGAAATGAAACAATTTTTCCGGATTTAAATCGCGTATATTTGTATTTTCAAACAAACCGACATTTCGGGCCCTTTACAGATCCCATGGTCACGGTTGACTTAGATGGTACAGTCATCAACCAGTTATATAACAGATAAGTTAAGGTAAGGTTTAAATCCGGAAAAATAGTTTCTTCCTATACCTATATCTTTCTTATACATTACATTAGTTAGATAAAACTGCATTTACTACTGAAGTTATTTTAGACTCCAGAATGGTGGCGTTTTTGACGTCTGTATTTTTTTATTATACCAAGTAATGGGACGAAGAAGTCGTTCGCCTGGTGGTAAGTGACACGCCTGTCCGTGACTGTTACACTGCTACTCAGAGCATTAATTCGCAAAGACCTGTACTCGCCCGTCACTGTGAGACATAAGCTGACAAGTTCAATGTGCCTGTAATTTCACCAGCAATCTTACTCTTCAGACCCGGAACGCAGCAAAGCTCATTTTACTACTTGGCGGCAGAAATAATAAAGTGTTGCTGTCAAAAAAAATTAACTCAATTTTGTTGTCTATGCACAACATATATTAATGCAAGAGCCTGAAGACAAACAGCGGAGGTGCTTGGTTGAAAATGTGTGAAGAGGAGTCATCAGGTGACCTATAGACGACTATTAGGAAGACGGAATTCAGAATAACGAGCTATTGCTCCTGGATCCATCAATGTAACTTGTATCTAATCGACCGAATCGTGAGGACATTGGGTTTACTACGCCATGTCGCTGAGATCAGTGACATAGCGTAGTATTCTGCTAAACAGGGCGGTACCTAATTTCGCTGTCCTAATTTTTTTGCAATTTCGCAAAGGTATTGGGTAAAAATTCAGCGATATTCTGATCCCATTTGAAAAGGATAAAAAAATAACGTCGTATTATTTTAATTAGAATTTTAATTCTCTGGTTTTCTTAAAGTCTTTAAGAGCATCGTTAATATTAAGCTGTACGTCTTGTCCGATAGCCATGATGGCTAGATTTTATAATCTCTACATGTACCTTAGAAGGATTTGCTTTTACCCAAAATCATAGCAGTATTTAGTTTTTGAAAATATTGTTGTTATCTACGTCGATAGTATCAGCGAGAACAAATTTGTTAGACATGTTTCCGAGCGCGTCATTTTTATATTTTCCAATTTGGTGGTCATAGAGACAATATGATAGATTTGACTACAAAAACTTTCTATCTGATGGAAATTGAGGTCTCTCAACAAATATGGTCATGGTGAAGAAACTTCAAAAATTTCTCATAACAGTAAGTATATCCGAAGCTAATATAGGAAAAGGAACTCTTTTCCGCCTTTAAATCGCGTATATTCGTTTTTTCAAACAAACCAACGTTTCGGGCCCTTTACAGGTCCCATGGTCACGGTTGACTCAATCAAGAAAAAATAATTTCATGTCCTATGTGCAACAATTGCGAAAACATAAAAACTCGATATCAGAAGTCTTTTTCCTAAATAGCAATTCCCGGATACAACGACATGACATCTTCAATAACAATCAACTATTTCGTGAATTTTTTTGGCTGGAAATGGGACAAAAGCAATTCTACCTTTTGCAATATTTATTTTACTGATTTTAGATATTAAAATAGCGATATATTTATCAATCTTCTGATAAATCTAAAGGTTGAGTGTTGAGTTGTTGGACGACTGAAGAAATTTTCATAAGTTTCTCACAGACTACGGCAAAAAGCTGTTGAATGAAACCCAATACAAATATCTATAACAAGCGCATAGAGAAGTTCGCAAGATGGTTAAGAGCGGTGGCACCGGCATGCAACAGACACCGGTTCGAGTTCAGTCAGCTCTAAGGAATTTTTCTTTGTGTTGTTCGGTTTTTACATCAATAATAGTAAGAAATTAGTGGATTATTTCATAAAAAAAATTTATGCCAATAAATAAATATGTATACCTAAATATGTTACAAAATCAATGAGCTCTTTTTGATTTTGTAACTATATATTTAACAAGAAACTGAAGAACCACGAAAAGTATAGAGACTAGTCTTAGCTTATATATAGGCTTGTAACAAAATTTGTTACGAACTTCGCATTCGATCGATGCGGAAGGATATCCGGGAGTTAATCTTACAGTCCCTAATATTTGATTGGAAAAAAAATCTTTATTATATAATAGTAAGCCTTTATTGTTTGCATAATCGCTCGCTTGCACTCGCTTCTTGCATCGTTCGGGCCAGCTCGGCGTTGTCTCAGTAAGGTCATTGCCACGCGGCACTATCATTCAGTATGCTGCGCGGTTTTTCAAATTAACTGCCTAGCAAAAACAGATCATCTTATCATGATACCACTTGTAAACAGACAGCGCCAAATACACGTAAACATATTTTTTAAATATATTTCCCAATACTGGCCGCCACTGTGTCGGACGTTAATAATACATAGTCAAAAAATGCTATAACTACAATCTTTTTTTTATAATACCTAGTGAAAGGACGAGGAAGTCGTACGCCTGGTGGTAAAAAAGCGACACGCCTATCCATTACAGTTGCAGTGCCACGCAGAGCCTTAAATCGCAAAGATCTTAGGAGCACTGCCACTGCGTCCATCACCCTAGGACATAAATTGACAAGTCCCATGTGCCTGTAATTTCACCAGCACCCTTACCCTTCCAAACCGGAATGCAGTAATGTACTGTCTGGCGGCAGAAATTGGTAAGGTGGCAGTACCTCCCTTGACAAACTCTTCCACAAAGAGCTTTACTGCTAAAAAAGTTTCATCGTTCAAGTCATTTCTTCGAAAACTCAGAGGTCACCATTGGGTGAGCTAGATTAGGTTGGAGTGGATCGATATAGACCACTATGAGAATCATTGCTCTTAACAGTCTCTTTAGAGATTTCCCGTGCCTAACAGTGGAACAAATAACTGGTTGACGATATTTTTTATAATATCATGCAATGGGACTAACAAGTCGCGCACCTGGTGGTAAATGACACCCTTATCCATAGCAGTTACACTGCCACTCAGAGCTTTAAACCTCAAATATCTGAGGAGCCCTGACCACAACGCCCGTCACCCTGTAAAGTCAACCAGCACCCTAAGGGCGCGTTCAAATTAGCTACTGTTAGATGCGCTGCAGCAGCGCGACTGTCACTTTTCATACAATTTCTTAAGCGCTGCAACCGCGTACCAGTCGCGCTGCAGTTATGCTCGGTTGCAGTCACTGTTAGTGAGGTGTATAAGTTAATTTTTCAAATTAACCACGATGGATGAAAATTGAATTGAAGAATTTATTATAAAACAACAACCTGCAATATTGCAGTTCCAGCAGTTATTCCAATCGACTGGATAAAAAAAGCATGGGAAAATTTGGTCGCACTTCAGCAGCGCGACCGTTGCGCGGCCGCCGCGCGGATGCAGCGCTTCTAACAGCGGCTAATTTGAACGCGCCCTTACCCTTCAAAATTGGAACCCAATAATGCTCACATTTCTGCTTGCCTGTGCTCTTGTCCTGTTATATATTCCTGTATTTGTTTAACCCTTAACTGTAGTCGTGGGTCCAGTGGATCCAAATTCATTCTTTAAACTCGCATAGAAATCGCTGCAGGCAACGCAGCTCTTCCCACTCAGTACCTTCCGACTGCACGCCGAAACGCGTACATGATTTGCTGGACATGTTTTGCTCGCTGCTCCAAACGTAAGTAATGATTTACATCTCGCGACTATAGTAAATTTCTTGTGTGACATATTTTATCCATTTTTCTTTTTTATTTCAATTCCTTGTCATGGCCAAATTTAAGAAGTGTCTTAGTAATTCAAGAAGACATATTAGAGCAATGGTTGAACGCTAATTTAGACAGCGATGAGGGAGAAATCGGTTAAAATTCTATATCTGCACGCAATATTGTAACTTAAAATTCTGATAAAGAGTTTTCAGATTACGAAGATTTTGTCCGAACTAGTGATCACGAAACATTCTGAAATATCTGATAGCGAAAATCCTAATGAAAATAAAGTTGAAAGGATCTTTCTGCGAACTTACATACCTGGCTATTTACATGATAAAATGTAAAAAACTGTGTGCATCATTAGGTTAAATTGCACTAGTGTCAGTTTTTTTTACGAGAACGTACATTTAATTTTTTTTTTGTAAAACAATATATTTTACAAAAAAGTTTTTGTATTTTGACATTTGTTTAATTTTTTATTGATTGTTTTTAGTAGATCTGATTTTAGATTAAGAAAATTATTACTGATATAATAGACATAGATGTATACCGTTAATTTTATACAATACTGCAGTTGTTAAAGTTAAAATAATAGTTTGAATAAAAAATATTATTAATATACCACACTTTCTACTTTATCACCATCCCAAAATGCATGGGTCCATTGAACCCACGACTATTGAAGCGTTATTTTTTCCACGACTACAGTTCACGGTTAATAGAGAACGTTTGAAATATCAATAGAAAGTGCGCGTGCCAATCTTGCAATGCAAAGAGTAATGTTAATATTTGTGGCAATTTGCTAATGGCGGATGATCCGTAGTCTTGTTTACCGAGATCTTCGGACTGCCTCTTGTGTTGTAACGATCCGACAATGCTGTGCCAATAATAACACAATGCTATATATTATATATTGCGATTTTTATGTATCTATAGAATTCTTATGAAATAAAACTTTTCGCA